GAGGCAGAGGGACCTGCGTGATGGTGTAACATGCCCTGACCACAACCTGCTCTTATCTCTCATCCCCCTGTTATCTCTCATCCCCCTGTTATCTCTCATCCGCCTCTTATCTCTCATCCCCCTCTTATCTCTCATCCCCCTCTTATCTCTCATCCTCCTCTTATCTCTCATCCCCCCTGTTATCTCTCATCCCCCTGTTATCTCTCATCCCCCTGTTATCTCTCATCCCCCTCTTATCTCTCATCCCCCTCTTATCTCTCATCCTCCTCTTATCTCTCATCCCCCTCTTATCTCTCATCCCCCTCTTATCTCTCATCCCCCTCTTATCTCTCATCCCCCTGTTATCTCTCATCCCCCTCTTATCTCTCATCCCCCTGTTATCTCTCATCCCCCTCTTATCTCTCATCCTCCTCTTATCTCTCATCCCCTCTTATCTCTCATCCCCCTGTTATCTCTCATCCCCCTGTTATCTCTCATCCCCCTGTTATCTCTCATCCCCCTGTTATCTCTCATCCCCCTGTTTATCTCTCATCCCCCTGTTATCTCTCATCCCCCTGTTATCTCTCATCCCCCTGTTATCTCTCATCCCCCTCTTATCTCTCATCCCCCTGTTATCTCTCATCCCCCTCTTATATCTCACCCCCTGCCAGGGGGTTGTGGATGGGGATGATGGATGGGCGTCAGCATCTACCTCTGGTGCCATGTTCGAAACAGTGATAGAAAATTGTTTTAGAGATTTTGTTTTAAGCCTATCCCAAACCTTAACCCTTACCCTTACCATTCAGAGTTAATACCTAACCTTAACCCTCACCTTAACCCTCACCCTAACCCCCACCTTAACCCTCACCTCACAAGTAGAGTAAGACATAGCTCTGTGTGAGTGAGTGTGTGTGTGTGTGTGTGTGTGTGTGTGTGTGTGTGTGTGTGTGTGTGTGTGTGTGTGTGTGTGTGTCCATTCCGTCGAAGCCGTATGAGAACAGCAGGGAAGATGGATAAACAAATGTGGTGTGAGAACAGACAGCACAGCAGGAAACCCTCAAAACAACTACATGTCTGGACCACAGAGAAACACAGAACAATTAGGGAAGTGTTTGTGTGTGTGGATATACTGGGCCGATAAACAGAGACATGGGGTTTAACCTGGTCTGCTAACTCTGCTCTGAAAAGCAGAGAAAGAAAACAGAAGATCTTGAAATTTTGGCAGCAGTGGGGAGACTAGTCTATCTGCATCTCAGGGTGTTTTGGAGCGTCAACTGTGTGTGTGTGTGTGTGTGTGTGTGTGTGTGTGTGTGTGTGAGAGAGAGAGAAAGAGAAGGAAACAACAGCGCGCTCTCTCTCTCTCTCTCTCTCTCTCTCTCTCTCTCGCTCTCTCGCTCTCTCGCTCTCTCAATTCAATTTAATTTAAGAGCATTATTGGCATGGGAAACACATGTTTACATTGCCAAAGCAAGTGAAATAGATAATAAACAAAGTGAAATAAACAATCCTATATTAACAAACAGTGAACATTACACTCACACATTTTTTTATTTAATATTGACATTTCAAATATTATATTATTGGCTATGTACAGTGTTGTAACAATGTGCAAGTAGTTGGAAGTATGAAAGGGAAAATATAGGTTGTACTTACAATGGTGTTTGTTCTTCACTGGTTGCCCTTTTCTTGTGGCAACAGGTCACAAATCTTGCTGCTGTGATGGCACACTGTGGTAGTTCACCCAGTCGATATGGGAGTTTATGAAGATTGGATTTGTTTTCAAATTCTTTGGGGGTCTGTGTAATCTGAGGGAAATATGTGTCTCTAATATGGTCATACATTTGGCAGGAGGTTAGGAAGTGCAGCTCAGTTTCCACCTCATTTTGTGGGCAGTGTGCACATAGCCTGTCTTCTCTTGAGAGCCAGGTCTGCCTACGGCGGCCTCTCTTAATAGCAAGGCTATGCT